GGACCCTAGCCCGGGTACCCCCTTCCCTCTCCCCCGCCGCCCCTTATTCGAACCGCCTCCATCTCCTCGCCGGTCCTTCTCCACCCGCTTCTGCCTGATGGGTTCTCGTGATCTCACGTCTCCACAGCCAGCGCACTGAGCACTTCGGGCCGTGCCGCGTGGCATGACGCTGGCTGCTCACATCCCTGTTTCCCTGGTGGTCTGCCTCCGGCCCCTCAGTCACAGCCTCCCCTCTGGACCTCAACTACCCGACTCCCCAGGTTGGGGCATCTTCACTCGGGCTACTCCCTGCGTTTAATCACTATCTTTGGCGATTGTCTCATGATGGATATCTGGAGCCAAGACCTCGCTGGCAATCTCCAGACAGTATTGAACACCCAGACTGGGCGCGGCTTGTAATCTCAGCACTTTGGGAGCCCGAGGGTTCGAGACCAGCCTGGGCAACTTGGTGAGACCTCAGCTCCACAGTAAATCACAAAAATTAGCCGGGTGTGGTGGTGTGCATCTGTAGTCCCAGTTGTTTGGAAGGCTGAGGTGGAAGGATCACTTAAGGCCAGCAGATCACAGCTGCGGTGGCTGTGAGCATGCCACTGCACTCCAGCCTGGGCAACAGAGTGAGATTCCAACTCAAAAAAAAAAAAAAAATTGGACACCCAGAATTGACCTCAGGGCTTCCACTGTCTACCTCCTCAGCATCTTGTAGCATCATCATGGACTTGAGAATAGAGTCAGTTCTGGCCACCTTCCCGCTTTATACATCTGCTATGGATAGAATGTACAGCCCAGGGAGGAGGCAGATATCAATGAATTGAATACACAAATAAATGTAGAATGTCAACTGTGAGAAACACATGGGGCTGCAGGACGTATGAGAAGAGACTGTCTCTCTCTGGGTGAGGGAGGTGAGTGGGTGAGGAGGTGAGGATTACCCTGAAACTTGAAGGGTGAGTGGTAAATAACCAGGTGGAAAACATGTGGGAAGAAAAATCCATACGAAGGCCCAGGCCCAGAAGAGCAGACAGGAAGCCCTGCACTAGGAGTGCAATAGCTTGGGCAGGCCTTGGGATGTGTGAAGGATTTTGCTTCTCATTCTAAGAGTAATAGGAGGTGTCACATTTGTGTTTTTGAAAAGATCATACTGGTCTCTTTTTTACTTTACTTTCATTTAATTTTTTGATTTATTGTAGAGACAAAACCTCATCAACTTGCCTGGGCTGGTCTCCAACCCGCGGGCTCAGGCAATCCACTCACCTCAGCCTCCCAAAGTGCTGGGATTACAGGCTGAGCCACCGAGCCCGGACTTTATTTTTATTTTAAGAGTCATAGGTACAAGTGCATGTTTTTTACATGGGGATATTGCATATTGGTGAAGACTGAGGTTCAGGTATTGTCATTTCCCAGATAGCGAACACTGTGCCCAATAGGTAGCTTCTGAACCCTCACCCCCCTTCCCTGCCTCCCTCCCACCTTCTAGTGTCCCCAGTGTCTATACCCTGTTCTTACAGTAGATATGTCTCCACTTTGCAGAGGGGGAAAAATGTGCCTTTACAATGGCCATGATTGGCTGGTGGTCACCTCAAACACCTGGGCCTTATGAAGAGCAGAGACCATGACCCCACCCACTCAGGCGTGGTCAGGGAGTGGTAATCTATGTGGCCTGCAGATTACAATCAGAACATGGGGCATAATGCAGATAGATGGACATATGTGGTCACAAGTCAGTGTCATAAAAAGAAACAAAAAGCAAGGAGGCTGTTCCAGATTAAAATACCCTACAGAGACACAACCAAATGCAACATGTGACCTTGAATCAGGGTGAAAAAATAGCTATAAGCTACATTCAAGAGGCAATTGGAGAGAGATGAATTTTGACCACAGAATTCTTGTTAATTTCTCAGGTGAGATATGGCACTGCAATCATGAGAGAGAATGACCTCGCTTTTAGGAAATAGGCTGATATATCTAAGGAGAAGTATCATGATGTCTACAAGTTGCAGTTGACCCTTGAACAAGTTTGAACTGAAGAGGAACAGGCCCACTTATATGTGAATTTTCTTCCTCCTCTGCCACCCTTGAGACATCCAAACCAACCTCTCCTCTTCCTCCCTCTCAGCCTACTCAATGTGAAGACAATGAGGATGAAGACCTTCATGATGATCCACTTTCACTTACTAAACAGTAAATGTATTTTCTCTCCCTTACGATTTTCTTAGTATATTTTCTTTTCTCTAGCTTACTTTAAGAATACAGTATATAATACATAAAACGTGCAAAATATATGTTAATTGTTTATGTTATCAGTAAGACTTCTGGTCAGTAGTTATATTTGGGGGGAGTGAAAAGTTGTACTTGAATTTTCAACTATGTAGGGGTCAGTGCCCCTAACCCCTCTGTTGTTCAAGGGCCAATTGTACTTTCAAATGACTCTTTCAGCAACAAAAAATAAATATATGCAAAGATAAAGCCAGTGTGGCAAAATTTCAACAATTGCAGAATTTAGGTGAAAGGTGCATGGGGTTCATTGTACTATTCTTTAAACTTTTCTGTGGATTTGAAGATTCTTTTTTTTTTGAGTTGGAGTCTTACTTTATCGCCCAGACTGGAGTGCAGTGGTCGCTCCCGGCCACCGCAGCCTCGACCTGCTGGACTCCGGCGATCCTTCCGCCTCAGCCTTCCAAGTAGTTGGAAATACAGGCACGCACTACCAAGCCTGGCTAATTTTTTTTGATTTATTGTAGAGATGAGGTCTCGCCAAGTTGCCCAGGCGGGTCTCGAACCCGCGGGCTCAGGCAATCCACTCACCTCAGCCTCCCAAGGCGCGGGATTACAGGCTGAGCCACGGAGCCCAGCTTG